CTTCTTTTCACATAACAGGATTATTTCCTCCATGCAGGCATGGAATGGTATGAAAACAGGAAGCTCCATTATTACTCGACCTCGTGGTTTTCTTCTTTTTTGTGCTCGTATGAGAACTTGAACTCAGGGCCTGGGTACTATCCTCTAGCTTTTTCTGTCAAGATTGGTGTTCTATCACTTGAGCTAAAGCTATATTACCAAGTTTTGATGACTAAATGGAGATAATTGTCTGCACTGGCTTTCAAATTCAGTCTTCAGATAGCAGCCTTCTGAGTAGGATTAGAGAGGTGAGCCTTTAGTGCCCAGACCCCAGAAGCATTTCTTCCTTAGAAGTGGTTCTGTGGTTGAAGAGGTAAAACACCAGCCTCTAGCACACAAAAGGCCAGAGTCGGTGGCCAGGCCCTGAGTTCAAGCTCCACGACTGAGAAAAAAAAACTTAAATGTAATGAAACTATTATTTTAGATATGAGACCCATGTCCTTTGTATGGCTAGTGAAGATCTTCTCCCAATCCCTGGGCTTTCTATTGATATTGCTAGCTATGTCCTTTGCCATGGAGAAACTCTGCAATTTCATGCAATCACATGTGTACAAACTTTCTTTGATTTGTTGTGTTTCTGGTTATCTATTAAGAAAATTTTGGCCTACACCAAGGAGACCCAGGGTTTTTCCTATTCAGTCCTGTAATGTTTTCAGGGTGTCTGTTTTAACTCCGAGGTCTTTGATCCATTTGGACTTGATTTTGGTGCAGGGTGATATATAAGGTTTTAGCTTTAGTTTTCTACAAGTAGTTAACCAGCTTTGTCAGCACTATTTACTGAAGATGCTGTCTTTCTTCCATTCTATTTTTGAGTTCCCTTATAGAAGCTTATATGGATTCATTTCTGGGGTTTCAATTCTATTCCATTGGTCCTGAGGTCTGTTTTTGTGCCAGTAACAATCTGTTTTGATTACTATGGCTTTGTAGTAGAGTATGAAATTTGGTACTGATATTCCTCCAGCATTGTTCTTTCTGATAAGGATCGTTTTTGTTGCTGCTATTTTTCAAGGAGGATTCCTCAATACAATAAAGGCTGTATATGACAAACTTAAAGTCAGAATTATACTCAATGGTGAAAAACTAAGGCCTTTCATTGTTAACTCAGGAATGAGACAAGGATGTCCACTTTCTACACTTCTCTTCAAACTAGAATTAGAATGCCTAGCTACAGCAATAAAACAAGATACAAACATAAAAGGGGTCCAAATAGGGAAAGATGAAGTAAAACTCTTCCTCTTTGCATATTAAATGATCTTGTATTTAATGATTCCCAAGGACACCACTCACAAATTACTCAAGCTGATTCAAAACTTTGGCAAAGTAGCAGGATATAAAACTAACCCTCAAAAATCAATGACTTTTCTGTATGCCAACAATGAGGAAAGCGTGGCTGAAATCAGGGAAACAACTCCATTCGTAATAGCCGTACAAAAAATAAAATACCTAGGAATTAAATTAACCAAAGAAGTGAAGGACCTCTATGATGAAAACCTTAAAAACCTGAAAAAGGAAATCAAACAGAATTTAGAAAGTGGCAAAACCTCCCATGCTCCTAGATTGGAAGGATCAACATCGTGAAAATGGCAATACTTCTCAAGGCTATCTACAAATTCAATGCGATACCTATCCATATTCCAACCTCATTCTTCAAAGAAATCGAATAGGCAATCCAAAAATTCAAATGGAACAATAAAAAACCCCGAATAGCAAAAAGAAACCTTAACAGAAAGAACATTGCTGGAGGAATATCACTACCAAATTTCAAACTCTACTACAAAGCCATAGTAATCAAAACAGCTTGGTACTGGCACAAGAACAGACCTCAGGACCAATGGAATAGAATTGAAAACCCAGAAATGAACCTACAGAACAATAGCCATCTAATCTTCGATAAGGGAACTAAAAATATAGAATGGAAGAAAGACAGCCTCTTCAGTAAATGGTGCTGGCAAAATTGGTTATAAATTTTAAAAATAAAGCTTGATGTTTCTATATCACCCTGCATGAGAATCCACTCCAAATGGACCTCAGAGTCAAATCAGAGACTGTGAAAACATTACAGGATGGAATAGGAGAAACCCTAGGTCTTCTTGGCACAGGAAAAAAGTTTATTAATAGACGCCCAGAAACACAACCAATCAAAGAAAGGTTGGACAAATTGGATTGCATGAAAATGCAGAGCTTCTGCATGGTAAAGGACATAGTTAGAAAGATCAATAGAAAGCCCTAGGATTGTGAGAAGATCTTCATTAGCCATACAATGGACAAGGGCCTCATATCTAAAATATACCTGGAACTCAAAAATTAAATCATTCAAAGAAACAACTGCCCAATAAATAAGTGAGCTAAAGACTTAAAGAGAAACTTCTCTGAAGAGGGAAAGGATGGCCAACAGACACATGAAGAAATGCTCAACATTCCTATCCATAAAAGAAATGCAAATCAAAACCACACTGAGATACCACCTCACCCCAGTTAGAATGGCTATAATCAAGAACTCTAAAAACAAGAGATACTGGAGGGGATGTGGAGAGAAGGGAACCAAACCCTATTGCTTTGTTGGTGGGAGTGTAAACTTGTTCAACCACTTTGAAATGCAGTATGGAGGTTCCTCAAAAGACTCCACATAGAGCTCCTCATGACACAGCAATCCCACTTTGGGGCATTTACACGATTGTTTACAAACAAGACCATACTAAAGCTACCAGCACAACTATGTTTAGTGCAGCATTATTTACCATAGCTAAAATATGGAACCAACTGAGATGCCCTTCAGTAGATGAATGGATCAAGAAAATGTGATATATTTTTTCTTTTAGATATATAATATATATGTATATATTATATATATTTATTTATTTTACATATATATATATACACACACACACACACACACACACACACACACACACACAATGGAATTCTATGCCTCCATCAGAAAGAATGACATTGCCCCATTTGTTAGGAAATGGAAAGACTTCGAAAAAATTGTATTAATGAAGTAATCCAGGCCCAAAGAAACATAGGTCTCATGGTTTCCCTTATTTGCAATAACTAGTATATGTCTGAGACAGGCAGTAAAGTTCAAATAAGTTGATGTTAGTAGAAATGAACCCCTAGAGAACTACTGAAATACTTTTTCTTTCTTGCGATTGTTTCTAACACATTTATAAGATGATTTCTTTGTTGCTTTGTATTTTCCACCCCCTCGTTATAACCCCTGTTTTCACTATATTTTATGTTGGTATCATTTGGGGAGTGGACGGGAAAAAAAGAAATTGTTTAAATAGGGATACAAGTGGACCCATTGCAACAATGAGATGTACAAGACCCTATGTTGAAAAATGAACTTTACAATTTTGGTGGGGGGGTGTTGGGGTAGGGGGGGAACGGAAATGGAAGGGCAGAGATGGTAAGGGGAAACAAAGAAGAAGGTAACAATGCTTGATAAGAAATGTATTCATTACCTTGCTCATGTAATTTTAACCCCTCTGTATGGTATTTTCACAATGAAAAACATTAATAATAATACAAAATGAAACAATTACAGGATAAATTATTTTTGAGGTTCTGGCTTTGATTCTCAGCACAACATAAATAGAAAAGGCAGGAAGTAGCATTGTGTCTCAATTGGTAAAGTTCTACTCTTGAGCTGAATTGCTCAGTGACTATGCCCAGGCCCAGAGTTCAAGTTGCATGAATAAAAAAAAAGGAAAGAACCATTTCTTCATTAGCCACAAACAAAAGGGTGCTTCTTAAATATTTTTGTAATTTAAAAATTCTTTGTAGAAATGAGTTAATGCAATTTCAAAAGGAAAGTCTAGAAAGTCAAGAATAGCTCATTAATCTTACTTTCTTAATGCAACAGTCTCTCTCATTTCTCTCATGGTTATCTTCTATTCTAATTTACTTGGGAGTCACAAGAGGATATAACTCAGTTTTAATTAACTCAAAAAACATCACTCCTTTTATATTACTAAGCTACATTACATCTGAAGCCTAGTGACCACATGAAATCATCAACTTTACTGGGGATGACTCCTGCCCTTGGGCAATAACTAGACTCCATCACTGGTCTGAGACACCAAGATACTTCAAGGGACATAAGCCCCTCCTCTTATCAGACTTGCCAACCCAGAAAAACAACTGTTCTCAATATATGCTTATACATGAGTGGCTCACACCTCTCATCTATCTGCAATCTTCTCTTTTCCCTCAGAAAGATGAAAAGTAGTTCCAAAGTCTCTTCAACTCTTATACAAAACATGCCTATAGCATGAGATTCTCAGCATTGAGAAGGATGTCATAACTACACCTCCCTGCATACTGCTGGTTCACCTTCTGAAACTTCTCAATCCTTCCTTCAATGATACTGCTGTCTGCTGTCTGTAGAACTGTTTTCCATAAACCAGCTATCCACACAGCTCCTTATTGTCTTCATTCAACAGGATCTATGAATTGAGTGTCTTCAATCTCCTCTTTTAGTTTTCTTTTTGTCGGTTGTGGGGCTTGAACTCTGGCCCTGGGTAATGTCCCTCAGTTCAGTTCAAGGCTAACGCTTTACCACTTGAACCACAGTGCCAGTTCTGGCTTTTTCTGTTTTGTGTCTGTGAGGAATTGAACCCCGGGCCTCATGAATCTGAGGGAAGTATTATACCACTGAGCCACCTTCTGACCCCCCTTCAATCTCTTCTTTGCTTATAATCACCTTCATAGAAAAATGCAATTGGATATTTAAAATTGCCAACAAAAAGTGCCCTTCCCTACAATTAATGGATTGTGAATTCAGTTTTCTTAGCATCTTGAAGGACTTAAATTACAGAATGTAAAGGAACAGTTGTGGACCATAGACTCCACTGAAAAGCACCTCAAGTTTAAGAAAATTAAAGCTCCTTTCTACCTTTACTCATTTCACATCTATTACTAGTAGATTACATCAAACATAAACAAGAATTACTCACAGAAGAGGTCCTCCCATGTTCTGTGCAAACGTTCTATCGATTCCTTTGCCAACATCATGTCCTTCTCTGGAATATGTGGCTCAGGTTGGCCTTCATAGTTGGAAGTTCTTTCAAATGCACAGTCCTGTGAACCAACGACTTCTCTAGTTCCTGCATTTAAACACAAAAAAGAGGGTTTATTTTTTAAAAACCTTCAATACAAGCTGCTGTTTTTCCCCATACCTAACCTAATCCTTTGATTAAACTCAATGGGAGGGGCCCAGCCAAGGAGAGGGATCTTAGGAATTAGAAACAGACCTAGTCTCCTGAAGACCTACCTAGGTGGTCAGCTTCAACTTGAATTGCTCTCAAAACAACATTGATTTCTTCAACTCCCCTTATCATTGCCACAGGTACGTCTTTCATGTTTCTATAACTCACTGTTATTTAACATGTAGATTAACACTCCAACTTAGTGTATAGTGAAGTTAAATTACTTGAAATTTAATTATCTTATATATTTAAGGTGATACAAAGTGAAACCTCATTTTAAACTGAGAAATGCATTCTTGCTAAAGTAGTCATTGCATAATCATTTCTCTTCTACTGGAGTTATTTTTTGGCATTTTATTTTTATTTTTGTTGTTCATGAAGATTGAACTTTGGGCCTGGCCCCTATACCTGTGCTTCTTTGAGCTCAAGGCTAGCTCTCTATCACTTGAGCCATAGGGCCACTTCCACTTATTTTTGAGTAGCTTATTGAAGAGTCTCAAGAACATTTCTGCTCAGGCCAAACCACTATCCTCAATTCTCAAGTTCCTGAGTAGTTAGTATTACAGACATGAACCAAGCCACTAGCACCTGCCTTGGGCTAACTTTCTAAATGAAATTGTGTAATAAAAAATTGTCAGTTAGTAAGGATCAGTAAAAAATTCCCTCTGACTTTGGAAACATTTTTTGTTGGTTTATGTATTTTTCTTGCTGGTGGCAATCAAATTCAGAATTTTATGCAAACTAGGCATACGATCACTAGCCATACCTGTAGTTATTTTGTGTTCTATTTATTTTAATTTTGGGTGCTGATTCTGGGACTTGAACTCTGGGTCTGGGCACTGTCCCTAAGCATTTTTTGCTTAAGGTTACTACTATACCACTAAAGCTACAGCTGAGTTTCCAACTTTTTGGTTGTTAATAGGAGATAAGCCACATAGATTTTTCTTCCTTGGGTCAGCTTTGAACAGAGATTCTTAAATGTCAGCTTCCTGACTGGCTAGGATTATAGACTTGAGCCACTAGCATACACTTATGTCTTTAAAAAATATCCATTAATAACAATAATAAATGACTTATTATTACTACAAGATCACACCTAAAATGCTACCTACTTGAGAGGCTGAAATCGGTAGATCATGGTGTAAATACATTATGGTTAGACAATTCAGCGTTCATTAATTTTTGTATGTGCTGGCCCTAAGGCTTGAGGGCTTCAATTCAAAGCCTGAGCACTATATTTGAGCCATAGTACCACTTCCAGGTTTTTCATAGTAGTTTTTCAAAGTAGTTCATAGGACTACTGGACTTTTCTGTCCAGGCTGGCTTTGAACTGCAATTTGTATATTCTGGCCTCCTGAGTAGGATTTAACCAGAAAAGCCACACTGAAGGTGTATACATGCTCAAATGGTAAATGCTAACTTTGGCTGGAAAAAGTTCAGAGGATTCAAGTCCCAGCACTTGTATGTATGCATGTGCGTACACACACATACACACACACACACACACACACACACACACAAACTGACTCCTATACCCAGTACCCCAAGATGAAAAAAAGTTAAAAAAATAACAAATTATAAGATGGATGATTATTTTAAGTAGGTACAATAGTTACTGACATGGCTATATGCTATATTGTGGCTTATGTGGTAGAATGTTTTCCTCCCATATAACAGTTCAATTCCTCATGTTGTTCAAACCAAACCACACCAACAAACGCACACCAAGAAGCATATCCTACAAAAGATATATAATACTATGTAACAAACATTAATTATTAAAAAATAACTGAAAAACAGCAAAATACAGACATGTCAAAATTATGCATGGGGGACTGGGAAGGTGGCTCAGTGGTAGAGCGCTAGCCTTGCATGCCTGAGGCTTTGGTTTTGATTCCCCAGCACCACATAAGCAAAAAGAAAAAAAGCCAGAAGAGGCGCTGTGGCTCAAGTGAAGTGATAGAGCGCTAGCCTTGAGCTGAAGAGCTGAGGGACAGTGCCCAGGCCCAGAGTTCAGGCCCCATGAGCGGACCCCCCAAAAATCATGCATGGGAATACTCAATATCTAAAGAATGTATTATTTTCTATAAAATCAATCTATACACTGAGTGCAATACTATGAGATGTCTTATCAGGACTTTTTATAGTTTCAGGCTGGATAACTTAGGAAAAATGAGACCTGGAAAATGACATCTAGGAACTCTGATAGAAACAAGACATTTAGAAACATACATGCATTATCTTCTTTGCTTCTCAATCAGGATGCATTTATCATCTTAAGGATAAGCATCTGTTCTATGGCAAAAATATATGCATTCTTTCCTGCAAGAAATACCCTAAAGGGGCTGCAAAGTTGTTCAGTAGTAGAGTGCTTGCCTTGCATGCATGAGGCCCTGGGTTCGATTCCTCAGCACCACATAAGCAAAAAGAAAAAAGCCAGAAGTGGCGCTCGGGCTCAAGTGGTAGAGCACTAGCCTTGAGCTGAAGAGCTGAGGGACAGCGCCCAGGCCCAGAGTTCAGGCCCCATGACTGGACCCTCCCCCACAAAAAAGAAATACATTAAAGACTGAGTCACCAAATAACCAGGAACTCAGATGGTGTAACCCCAGAGTGATAAGAGCAAAGATAAACACCTATATATATGGTTTCATGACTGGACTGGCTTTTATTATATAAATGCCCCTGATGTCAAAGGGCTCTGTGCCTCTACCTTTAAGAGCACCCACACTCTCAGTGTGACTCTATCTTTCTGTTTATCTGCTTATCTGTTCGTTTGCTTGCTAACTCAATAAAGTATTGCCAAGTTTTCTTACCATGGTGACTACTCTGCAAATTTTTATTCTGTGACCAAGGACTCTAAGTCAAGAGTTCCTACTTATAGAAGGAAACTTCCCCAAACCTCACCTGGACCCAGTGACTGTTGTTCCTCAAAGTTAAGAGGTGAGTTGCTGAGTGGTAGAGTGCTTGCCTTAAATGCAAGAGACTCGGTGTTTGGTCCCCACTAACAGAGGAAAGGAGGGATTATGAAAGATCAAAAGACACAAATAATATGAAAGAAGAATTTTGGGGACACACCATAACTCAAAATGAGGATTTGTTATACTAAAGCCTAGTAATCAAGACAATCTGGTATTAAAGCTGAAGAAAAACAATTACACAAGGTAGAGAACTGAGAACAAGCCTATGTAGAATCCTGAGATTTGACATTAGACTATTCAATAAATAGCTATTTGTATAAGCTAGCTATTTATATGGAATAAGATACAAAATAGACCTTAACTTAAAGCTGTATCAAACAATTCCTAAAAACAAAGAGGCAAAGGTAGAAAGCAACACTTAAAAGCTTTAAGAATGAAATAATAGTGCGTTTAAGCATGGAGATTTTCCCCAAGGAAATGAATACAAAGGTAGGAAAATATCAATAAGTTTACATTACAGCAACACCTTTGGTTGAGTAAGTAACATCAAGAAAAATATAAACATCCTCTCTTAAGGTTTAAGACATTTAGATAGTATGTATTCAACAAAGGAACATTTCAGTCAAGAAGATGACAGATAGGATACATGATATTGAATAAAATATCTGAGCATACAATTCACAAGAAAAGGCATATGTGATGTGGCAAGATTTATGCAAATATTCTATCAGGAAGAAATATTTCTTTCCATTTCTTTTAGTCATGCAACTTGAACTCTGGGCCTGGGCATAGTCACTGAGCAATTCAGCTCAAGAGTAGAACTGTACCACTTGAGACACAGTGCTACTTCCTGCCTTTTCTATTTATGTTGTGCTGAGGAATCAAAGCCAGAGCCTCAGAAATAATTTATCGTGTAATTGTTTCATTTGTATTATTATTAATGTTTTATCATTGTGAAAATACCATTCAGAGGGGTTACAATTACATGAGCAAAATTGTAAAGCTCATTTTTCGACATAAGTTCTTGTACACATTGTTGCAATGGGTCCATTTGTATCGCTATTTAAATTTCTTTTTTCCCTTCCACACCCCAAATTATACCAACATCAAATATAGTGAAAAGACAAATCCACAAATAAAGAAATCATCTTATAAATATGTAAGAAACAATCGCAAGAAAGAAAAAAGAAAGAAAAATTATTTCAGTAGTTCTCTAGGGGTTCATTTTACTGCTTTCTGTACTATATAATCTGATCTCATATATAATTAATGGACATGTGTTTTACTTTTTTCAAATTTCATGTTCATATTTTAGATGTAATATTACATATGAAAGGACTTACACCCCATTTCTCTTTCAACATCCCTTGCACGTGAGCATGCGTGTGTGTGTGTGTGTGTGTGTGTGAGTGCATACACACACATACTAGTTCAGATTGACAAACTCAGTGCCTCATTCACTTTCTGCTTTTTTCCTCAAGGCTAGTTCTTTACCACTTGAACTTCAAATTACTTCCTTCATTTTGATGGGTACTTAGAGATAATTTTCCTGAGTAACTAGTATTATTATGTATGAACCACCCAGTTCAACATATTATCACACTCTAGTCATTTTCAACTTCCCAATTTTTAAAGGAAATTATTGATAGGGCTTGAAACTCCAAATAAACCAGTAATATACTGTAACTTTTCCATTCCCTTTTTCAAGCCAATTAGATAATAGACAGACTATTAACGTTGAATGCATAGTCTTTGATATCACAAAAATTATGTTCCTAAATGCACCTTTTTCTTATACTTTTTCCTTTTTTGCTGTCATTTATGTGGCATTTATTATTATTTGTACCTGGAAGAAACATTGCATACTTGTACATTTGTTTTCCAAAAGTCTAAAATATTTGTCAAAAATATTTGTAAGTTAAATAAAACTGAGTCATTTCTAACTGCCTTTGGAATATAAAGAAAACTCCATTGTATGTATGTGTATATATGTATATATGGTATGTATGTATATATATAACACATTTTCTTGATCCATTCATCTACTGAAGGACATATGGTTTGGTTCAATATCTTATCTATGTTAAATAATGCTGTTATAATCATAGTTGTGCTGATAGCCATAGTATGGCTTTGTTTGTGATCCTTTGATAAATGCCCCAAAGTGGGATTTCTGGGTCATAGAGGAGCTGAAATGTACTCATTACCTTGCTCATGAACTGTACCCCCTCTATA